ATGTTGACTGTTGTCATTTTGTCTGTTCCCTAAATTCCTAGGTTCGGTAGACGATTATATTTAGTCTCTCAAAAGCAAACTAGCATCTGGATATTCAGCATTTTGTGTTAAATCCAATTAACCTGGACTGTTCAACGTAATCGAATCTCACCTGCTTTACGGTATTGCCTTTCAGAAGGGTTAGTGACAGTCGCAAGGAGGCCATTTTATTCCAGCAAAAACGGTAATACGATACCCGTGTGACCATTAAGTATTCTGGCAGTATAACCGTTATTCATATTACAAACTGCATGTCTGATAAGAAAACACATGGGAAAATTTTACTTTTACTACGTGATGGGAACAATTCAGAACACTTTTTATTTTTTGTCGGACTCAATTAGTTTTCGAGATATAGCCTGCCAAAGTTTGTATGATGTCATATTTTACCTTTTATTGTAAGCAATAAACGATTGCAATTCACATATTTTTTATTCAACACATCTTTTTCCATATCATCGTACTTTTTTCTATCCCTTTTCATTCGCTTATTGCCAAGTTTCTCGAAATTCCATAAGTCAATCTAACCTAACTCAGTCTAACCTTACTTTGGAATTTAAAAAAACTATGTCTATCTATCTAACCTGACCTCCAAATTCTAAAAGGAACATATTTTCGAATATTTACTTTTGTAAAAACTATCTTTCTTCAACATCCAACCTGCCCTCCAAATTCTAAAAGGAACGTATTTTCGAATTGTGTACAATGTACGTACAATGGTTGTGAAATATATAACAATCTATCACTCTGAGAAACCATAATTCTGCTTTGCTGAGTATTTTAACGAAACACTTTATATTGGATTCAATTCCAATACTAAAGTATTGTTTTAGCGTAATTACCCTGGTCTGATGTATCATTCTATATGATTTACCTTCATTCATTATTTTCTGACTCATTTAATGTTTTGTTATATTTTCTGGCTGATATGTGTTTTGTTATGTGTCTATTTTTCAAACTATCAATATAAAATTTCCTTTTTGGGAAAGTAAGTTTTTGGCTTTCTACTACTCCATCTGATACAAAAATAAGAGAATGAGAGAATCTTCCAAAGAAAGGAAGGAAGTAATCAATTTGAAAATAAGTAACTCTATACATGAATGTGTAGATCATGCAAAGAAGTAACTTTCAGACATAAACTGAAAGAAAGTCCTCCTGAAACAGGAGGACAATTCAAATAAAATTTCCTTTCTCAATAAGAATTTTTTTCTTCAGACAATAAAGAATATTCCTCTCTCTCTCTCTCTCAGGAATCTACAACATTGATATCTTCTGCAAGAACTTCATGAAAGATACATTTAAGAGGAATTTTTGAAGTTCTAAACACTTCAATGTTGTTTTTGATCATTTTCGCATTACATCATGTGGTGAAAAACAAAGGTTTTATCAATAAAAATGACCTTACAAGGTTGAGCTTGATCGACCTTCATTGACTTACTACATTGTCACAAAAATCTCCCAAAATCAAGACATCAGTGTAATGTTCAACTAAATATTTCCGATCACTTTGTTCATGTTTTAATACATGATAACAAGCGTGTTTTCAAAAAAAGCAAAATAAATTAATGGCAAGATTTGATCTATGGGGTTCGAAAGATGAAGTCGTTACAAATAACATGTTGAAAAAGTTTGCATTCTAAAACAGTGGGAACAGTGTAGAAACATGGAAAACATGTTCGGATATAATATAAAAACGGTTTTATTGACACTGTTCTAACTAGTTTGTATGTCACCTTACCAGGGTTTGTAGAATGCTTCTGGTTGGTCATTTTTCAAGGTTTCAAATATGAATCCGACCAAAGCTTGACCGTATACTTATAAGAAATTGAAAATTCGAAATGGACGTAATTTCGAATATTCGGGTTATAAAACTNTATATTGTATTTGCTATCCTTTAAAAATTGCCTTGCAAATGGTTACTGCAGGGCAATAAATGCTATACTATTATTATTATTGTTATACTGGATACCTGAACAGTCAGGAAACACAGACAACGACAAGGTGATAGGCATCACGTGGTTTCAATAGTTTTTTGTTGTAATGTCATGTGTTTTTCTTTAGCTCCACATCTCAATAAATATTTATTCAAGATGTCGTGGTATACATTGATGAATAGATAATTCAGTATATACATTGATGCTGATAAACTACGGAACCATTGAGTCATAAACGAGAAAATATATATTATGCAGGGAAAGTTTGGAAAAGGATACTTCAATTATTCACCTTACCTTTGGTTGAAATAAGATGAGAAGTTGGTTTGTGTCCGAAAACACCGCACATAAAAGCAGGTATTCTGATAGATCCACCGATGTCGGTACCTTGAAAACAAAACTTGTTCAATTACCATAAAAACNACATTTCTGGTAGTATTATAGGGATTATTGGTGATGCCATATATTGGGTTGTGCGTTTCTTGCCATAAATTCAGCTGAGGAATATTCGTTACACCTGAAAGAAAAATTGAGACCTAGTTTTAGAGGATGTATCTCCGGTACAATTGATGTAACTTTAGCGTACCTAGGCAAATAGCTCCAGCTTCTTTCATTAGTTTTATGTAATCTGCATCGAATGAAGCTTTTTTTCCCTTTCTGGGCACTAATCCAAAAGTGTAGGATAGTCCTTTCACTGCGGTTGATTCTTTAGTTGTGAATGGCACCCCTGAAATAGTTACAGTGAAGCAATGAAAATTGTTTTATTGGAATGATTAGATGGTCCTTGAAAGATTTGAAGTTGTTTGTCTCCTACTTGCATTACTTTTAGGAGTTATACACTCATGAATGAGGAGTTAATAACTTGGAACCAGCGATAGATTGGAGCTCAAATTCTTCTCTCAAGATCTCTAATACATCAGTCGATGATGATAATGATTACCTAAAAACGGTTTCGTCTGAAAATCAACGTCTTGTATAGTTCCATTCCGGATATCCTCATCAATTTCTTTTGCTTCTCTCAATGCTTCTTCATACCTAGAGTCAACAACGGCATTCAATACTGGATTAACTTCTTTTATTCTATCGATGAAAGCCTGTACTACTTGTTCCGAAGTCAATTCTCGTTTCCTTATTTTTCTAGCTAAACTTGTTGCACTTTCCAAAATTATGGGATTGCTACATTTCTTTATGAATTGTCTTTTAGAATCTTTGAAATATCCGAATGCGCAATCTATGAGTAAATCAATATAATAACGGACGCAAAGAAAAATCTTCAGGAGCATGGATTTGACTTTGTCGCAGTCCACCAAATTATTTGATTTATTTTCTTTGTCGGATTTAGTGTCCTGAAAAATTAAATAAGTAAATGAACTTGAATTACTTTTTCAGAGAAGATAAATGGAGAACGTTTGCAAATGGAATGAAAAACAAACTAGGAAATTCTCTATTAAATTGTTTCCTACAATAAAAAAGCAGATATTTTCTAACTTGGTTGTTATCCCAATCAAATACTTCATAAGTTTTGAAACAGCAACTATTCATTTTGAAAAACTGACTACAATATATGTCTTCATTTCTATTTTTCATTCATATAAATGATCTCAAATCAATAATTAAAAATAACGGAGAGATGAACTTTGAATCAACAGACCATAGCTACTGATAAAATTTGGTTATTCATTGATTCACTCTTTTTTCAATTTTTTAAAAGATCATAGCTATTGAAAACTTAGGAAGGTTGAATTCTCAATTCTCACCTTGACATTTTTTATTCTCGACATTTTTGAATTTGTATATATATCGCACTACTGCCCAGTTCTATCAGTTGATTAGGAAAGAACAAATACTGCAAGGTAATGTTTATAAGTATACTGAATAAATTATAGTAAATTAATACATGTTATAATTGTTACATTTGGTGATTTCTCATTTGATACTTGGTTCCTTGTTTTGTTTTTGATTGGTACTGGTACTTTGTCATTATTCGTTACAGATTAATTTACAGAACAATAAAACAGAAACAGAAGTATTTTGATCGCACTAATCTAGAGATATAATATATTTATGTATACTTCTTTGTCACTAATCTTATTCCAGGTCTAAAACCATTCCCGCCAAAGTTATTCCTTCTCTTTTCTATCAAGATGTATGTATGTGCATTTCTCGGATAAAGTTATCCAATATCTTTGTTCAATGAATATGGATTGAGCAAAGAGGGCAAATAACTTTTGGAGGAAGTGGACCGATCTGGAATGATACAGTACAACGAAACTCACCTGAGCTGCATTTGATTTGAAGCCCAGTTCTTCTTACATCATTGCAATCGTGTTCCATGAACTTTAATTCCCCTCGAAATAAGGTTTCGAAAATATCCTGTCAATAGATAGATATGGCTCATTTGAAAAACGAAAAGTCAATCGTCATACTGTTATTGTAGTATCAAGCTCTCCTTTCGATGTGGTATCAGCTCAAAAGGTGCGTTTTGTTTGCACTAATCTTTTTCCCGTCAAATGTTATTTCCGCTCTGTGTGATCAAAAAGTTTGAACATAAGGCGATTGCGACTATTCTTGAATCACTCGTTGTTGTTTTCAAAGTATGCGCAGCTGAAGTTATGGCGAACGATTTCTGCGAATTGATATTCTTGAAACATTTGTTGATTTGTCATTTGACTGTTATTTACACATAAACTAGTAGGCTGACGTTGACATTGATATGTTTGAATACCTGAAAATACTTGTAGCATGCACTCAAAAATTCAGGTTGAGGATTTGTTCGCATACAAACATTCGTAGAACTACACAAAACTGCGAGTGATTCAGAACTAGGTGAAGCCCAAGAAATGACAATGATTTATAAAAAACTTTTTACGATTTTTCTTAGTTCTAATATTTCGGACATACGTCGTTCTGGATATTAAACTTTTTTCTAGCTGTCAACAATCATAACTGAACAGTCCTTTCGAAGTGTATAATCAATGGTACAAAAAAAGAAGAGGAAATAAAGGTTAGGACGGATTTGACGTTGACAGTTATATTGTCACAGGTTTTCAAAGTGACTGCATTGTGTATTGTTTAGATACTGAACCTTATAGAAATTACGCAATTAATTTTCTTAAAAAATGGGAAATGTAAGTGAAAAGGTAGAGGCAGCTTCCAACGTCTCACAGCAGACCGAAGCACCTAAAAAACTCAAACCGTGCTGTGCTTGTCCCGAGACAAAGAAAGTCAGAGATGAATGGTAATTATTTTTATTGGGAGTATGTATAAGCGCCCGGCATTTGAATTTGTGCCTTCAGCCAACATTTTCGTTCCCTTAGTTTTTGTATGTGTATATTCAGGAGTACTTAGTACTAGTTATACCTTTATGTTGCATGGTTCACTTTTACAATGTATATAAGATAATATGCTTCAGACTATATACAGGTAGGTACTATCTCAACCCTATGAAACTCACAAGTGTCTGATAGAGTCACGAGAAGTTGTAGTGGAAAGTAGATTGAAATTATTTCTATCATCCATTATTCATTACTTTGATGAAATATATGTTATCCATCTTCTTTTCAAGCAGATCAAAGCGTACATACTCCGATGTCTACAGCATAAGGCAAAACAAAAATGTTGTCAATCACCACCATTAACAAATATTTGGATCTGGGAAAGAAAAGTTTTGACCACAAATTAATCCCTGATAAAAATATACACCTTTCAATTTAATCCAGATCTTGAATACGCATCCCACTGCTTTTCTTTCTGCTGTCAATTTGTTTTTTCTAAATATTATTAGTAACTTTTTGTTTCAGTATAATACTAAATGGTGAAGAAAACTGTAAACATCTGATTGAAGCCCACAAAGAATGTATGAGGAAGGCAGGATTCAATATCTAGTATCTTATTCATATTAATCGTTTGTAAATATAACCCAAAGAAATATATAGTTTAGACTGAAACAGTAACACATTTATTATTTGTTATCTTGTTTTGTTAGAAAAATAAGTTTGGGAGTGAATAAAGTATTACATGTGTTATAGTTTTGTAAACCTTTCCTAGTAAACACTAAACCGGTTTTTAAGTTTTGATATGGATTTTCATCAACTATCGGTTCCATTAATTTTTTGAATAATTTAGAAATTTTGATAAACATCGTCGCTGGGAGATATCACATATTAGACTGTATTATGTCCACTCATGCATTTTGTTTACAGAAAGTATCCAAATATAAAAAAAACTGAGGAGCTCTAATGAAATGATTATAAATTTCTGTCCAAATGAATTTGAAGTAAAAAAGTGTGAAAACAAACAAAATTGTAAGAACGTGTTTTGGGAAAAATATGTACATTAGGAATCGACAGTCTAAAGTCTGTTTTATCCGATTCTATGTATTCTGTATGTGTATATCTAAATCGCAATATGTTCTAGATAGAGAATGTTTGGCATTGATAAGTTGACTGTGTGTGTTTATATAGTCACCACCTTATATGAACCCTTTTTGATATGGAAAGAATAAATATTTATTTCTCATTGCTTTCCTGTAATCTTCAACTTTCACAACCTGAAGAATAAGCAAAGCTAAACCAATAGAAAACCTGCTGAAGTGTAATAAATTGCAAACTGAAAAGTTACTGCATAATATAATCTAAAAAAGAAAATCAAAATATGCTTCATTACCCAACATTTGAACATCTTTGGCAAAGATGGGACATTGAATTGATAAGCTATAGAATAATGCTTAGAGACAAGAGCAGCGTAAATGGACAGAACAATGTTAAGCTCAGCTGAACAGATACAAATATAAGTACATGAATATTGAGTAAGTGTAAATATATAATGCTACGTAATGTACATTTATATCCATTTCATGTTGATTTCAATAACTGTTTGCACAAAGGTACATGCCAATTGCTGGATAGAGTCTTGGTAGAATTCGTCCACACAGTAAATCATGATATTCTTCTGCAAAAGTTAAACTCAATTGGCATTAGAGGAATAGTATTGACATGGTTTCAAAATAATCTTGGCGACAGAAAGCAGTATACTCAAATACAGGAAAAAAAGGGCTTATTGAAAACCATCAAGTGTGGATGGTGTTCCACAAGGTTCTGTTTTAGGTCCGACATTCTTAACTTACATCAATTCTATTATAGAACTGAATGTTTGTGGTTTTATCACTCTTTTTGCTTTGCATTTACTTTTCGAAAAATACCAATATCATTGAAAAATCAATTTTAGAAGACTTAAAACTAATATGTCCTTGGTTGGGATCTCATAAGTCACATTTGAATTTCGATAAATCTTGCTATACAATTATATCCAGAAAAAAATCAGATTACAAAATGTTTTTTCTGAATTTCAATAATAATTCGATGGAATTTNCTTTTAGTGAAAAAATGACTTCTAGTCCTTAACCTGGTGTTTCATTTCATAAATTTTCCATCGAGAGTTATAAAAGTGAATGTAAGGTATATAAGTGCATAGTTACTAGGTTTGCGAAGATATTTCAATCAGACGTACATAGTGTGAAAAGATCATTAAAGTTCTGAATTTCCCTTTCTGTAAATGCAGGTCACACCCACTGATAAATGTTGGTGTCAAAAATGTGATAATATACACCACCATTTGCGATTGCACAACTATAAAATCAAAATTTCATTTTTTACATGAAGCAACAATTGATAATCAGTCTGACATGGTTGTAGAGAGTTATTTTGAATAATTATGTTGACTGTTGTCATTTTGTCTGTTCCCTAAATTCCTAGGTTCGGTAGACGATTATATTTAGTCTCTCAAAAGCAAACTAGCATCTCAATAAGAATTTTTTTCTACAGACAATAAAGAATATTCCTTTCTCTCTCTCAGGAATCTACAACATTGATATCTTCTGCAAGAACTTCATGAAAGATACTTTTAAGAGGAATTTTTGAAGTTCTAAATACTTCAATGTTGTTTTTGATCATTTTCGCATTACAGCTTACAGCATGTGGTGAAAAACAAAGGTTTTATCAATAAAAATGGCCTTACAAGGTTGAGCTTGCTCGACCTTCATTGACTTACTACATTGTCCCCCAAAATCAAGACATCAGTGTAATGTTCAACTAAATATTTCCGATCACTTTGTTCATGTTTTAATACATGATAACAAGCGTGTTTTCAAAAAAAGCAAAATAAATTAATGGCAAGATTTGATCTATGGGGTTCGAAAGATGAGTCTTTACAAATACCATGTTGAAAAAGTTTGCATTCTAAAACAGTGGGAACAGTGTAGAAACATGGAAAACATGTTCGGATATAATATAAAAACGGTTTTATTGACACTGTTCTAACTAGTTTGTATGTCACCTTACCAGGGTTTGTAGAACGCTTCTGGTCGGTCATTTTTCAAGGTTTCAAATATGAATCCGACCAAAGCTTGACCGTATACTTATAAGAAATTGAAAATTCGAAATGGACGTAATTTCGAATATTCGGGTTATAAAACTAGGTATTCCACAACGTTCAGTTTTTGGACCTTCACTACTCTTTCCACAATATTTAAACGATGTTCACGTAACTATGTTTGCCTTCACAACAATAATGATATATGATTAGACGGCGGAATAGCTTGTAGCTTAATTAGAAAAAGTTATAAATGTAGTTTTTTCTTGGTGTCAGAGAAATAAAATGATTATGAGTACTTCAGAATTTGGTAATCGTCATTTTTTTACCAAGAATTGTTACTTGATGCCTGTTATATACATTTTTTGATGTATCGTTTTTGCTAGATAAAATATAGCAGATTATCAGTGTAATGCTGCAAAACTTTTCGTCTAGTTTGCAATAAAATATTGAATTTGTAAATTTTTAATAAATATGAAGCGGTTTTATTGCTATTTGTCAACATTTTTGTCTACTATAACTAATCCATATTTCATGAAGTAGCGAAAACCGAATGCATATTCATGTCACGTAAAATAATTTTTTACGCAAGTATAATGAAGTGATATACGAAATGTTTTGAAATGCTATCGAATGTGCTATTTTCAGATCGTATCATCATAAATTAACAGTTATATACTAAGATGTTCCTTGGCATTATGCAGTGCAGTACAATTGAACGTAATTCAATGTAATTTCGATTTCTGGGTTGGATAATTTTTCGTTTATGAGTAACATCCTACATCACAGAATGCCAGTCAAAAAGTCCAAAGCCTGATCAAGTCTATGATTTTCTGATTGATTCGGCCGTTACTTGATCAAGATTCATAGTAATTTCATAAACTACACCTCACAAGTCTATGATTCTGTGCATTGCCTTGAGCAAGACCGCTGCGCCCCCGGACGAAGCTTCTGTTCACTATGGACAGGAGGAGCCTGGCCAAATGCTCTCATATGAGAAGCAACAAGCAACAAACCATAGAAATCAGAGAGAGAGAGAGAGAGAGAAACCAAAAATCGATAGTTGGTTGGATGCGTATCTCCGGATTCTAGTCAGTGGTGTAATTAATTTGCTGGTAGAATTAATTGGAGCCCGTATTTTGAAAACTGGAGTTGAAACTTTCAATTTCAAATTGAGATGATGTATTGAATTGAAGAAAATTTGAAATTACCTGAAACCGACTTATTCAGGTGAGAACTCAGCGAGATGTGCTTTCAGGTTTCCATTGATTGTCAATAGGATTGTCAAGTAGACAACTTTGAATACCGAGTCGGCCAGGATAAACATTTTAATCATATTTTGATTCCATTCGATTATAGTTTTGTCAACTTTTAATGATTTATCAATACTTTTACATATAAAAAGCGAACAAGGAGAGTACCTTTGACTAGGTGGCCATTTTGTGTTGTGCTGTGTGGCGGTAAATTTAAAATGAAATTCCTCTCTTAGTAATTATATATATATTTTTGGTCAACGGTAAGTTACACTAGATAACAACTTTTCGAGGGTAAGTCTGTCGACAGTATTTTCATACACCATTATCTTTTGCAGAACAAAAGTATTCTTGGATATCTGTTCTTTTTGGGAAACGTGTTGAGTGTAAAGTGAATAAATAATGGAACCCTGTGCTCCCGGTACAGAAGATGATCCTCCAATCATGTACTCCACTCTGACTAAACAGGTACTTATTCTTTATATGTATTTTTTCCTCTTAGTGACATAAACTGTATATTTAATATCTTTCAGAATAAGTAGGTAAGTAATAATTGAATTTTCAATTCTCAATACGCCTTTTTGGTAACAATTCAGTGTTTATAATTTCAAGTAAATGAAATTCGCATAAGCGAATTTCCCAAAGTCAACAAAATTTTAAAGTTTTCTACCAGTTACATGCCCTGTCATTCAGGGATTTTTAACATAACTTCAAATTTTTTCTCGTATTTGATGCAAGTAAACATCATTCAGTGATAAAATTACAAAGTTACTATGTATAAAGCATAATAGTCTGGAATGGAAACATAAAAAAAATATATTCTACTGTTCATCATTTCCTTTTCTTGGGTATTCATGTAATGAACTTTTATCATTATTTTCTGTGGTAACAAGGGACTTGTCAATTGCCGATGATAGTGGAATATTTGGTTACACGAATCTGAAGTCTCTGATATATTTTGTGGTGTATTACACCAAACTGTCATGTTTTGGTTTCAGATTCGTGATTTGCCAACAAAAACACAGTCCGATGAAAACTTTTTAAATAAGCGTGATCCATGTAACCAAATAACTATCAGGTTTGCAATTCATACCAGTCAATACATGTTGGTGTAATAATAATAAGAATTATTCAGTTGGATCATCTATAGATGACATTGCGTAGTTATATCAAAACGTGTACAAATACAAAATTAAAAATACAAATTCCGTGCACAATATACAACTACATAGTTGATATAAACTAAAATAATCTGCTATTTATTCAACAGATCTTTATTAAATTGGAAGTTTATTATACAATGACCATAAGTCTGGGACATGATTCAGATACAACTAATCTGTGTGTTGGCACTTCCAACTGTAGGGAATTTCTAGTATTATAATTCTTTTTACCATTAAGAGTAGGAAAACTGGTTATGTGCGATTTTAAATATTTTAGTATCTCATAAATGTATATACTTCTAACAGTCAATATTCTGAGGTTTTGGAAGATGAGTTTTTAGTAACACCTGATTTATACCTTATGGTTCTTTTTTGAATTTTGAGTATTCTGGAACAATCACTAGATTCTCCCAAGCTATAATACCATAGGAAATGTTACAATGAAAGTATGCAAGGTAGTACATTAAAAAGAATAATCTATTCATATTCCAGCGTAGTTATACAATAAGATATTGAGGATATCTTTTTACAAATCGTATCAATATGCTTTTTCCATTTGAGATTTTCTGTTATCTTGAAACCCAAAAACTTTGTCTCCTCTTGTTGAATTGATCCATTAATTGACTTTACTAGTAAACTATGATTTGGAGTGATTCTTGAATGATTGAAACGTATAAGCACAGCTTTTCTTTCATTTAACAAGAGACACTTGTCTGAGAATAACTTTAGGGTTCTTTTTATTTCATCAGATGCTTTATTAACTGTGGCTTTAATATTTTCCTGAGTTATCAATAAAGATGTGCCATCAGCATACATAACGAACTGATCACTATAAAAATAATTTGCTTATATTGTATATAAGAGTGGACCTAATATAGAACCCTGAGGGAACAATTTTTAGATTCTGATTTATTTTTGTTGACTTCTACATTGTAGCATCTACCCTCTAAGTAACTTTCAAACCATTTGTGGGTTAATCCCCTGATTCTATACATTTCAAGCTTGGTTAGGAGATTTTCGTGATCTACCAGATCAAATGCCTTACTTAAGTCTATGAAAATACCTAGCGGCTTTTTACCTTTGTTCAACTTCCTGTACACGTTATTGAGGAACTGTGTAATCGCTAGAAACCAGCTTGTTCATATAGTCCTACCCATATGGGAGTTCAATTTGATAATTTGGTTTCCATACATGTAATTAAAAATGTACTCAATTATAATAAAGTAATTGAATCTTCAACCTCTGAATATGTAATGCAGTTACATATACATTGAGTATTGTGACGCCAGAAGATGCTATCGTATGGCAAAATACGTGTTGCGGTCAACATCAATAACTTTGTCGATACTTTTGAAATAGACAACTAAATTTTTAGTAAACGACCATTTCATCTATTTAGTATGTGCGGTTAATGGTTTTGATCTTAAGCTAACAGGGTATTGTTTCAAATGGATTTATTATGGATCATTCTCATTTGAATGGTCTATTTTGTATGAGAAACTGAAAAATTTGAGTTGTGTACTTTTCTACACAACTTACAATCTGGTGTGTGTAACAATGTGAGTATATAGTGAACTGGAAGCAATCTACTTGTTGTAATACACTTGTAATAATTTCCTCAATATTTATTTGACGGAATTATACATTTTTTAGTATGATTTTGCTAAAAAATACACTGATAAAAACTTCGTATCTATTCAAATCATTGAAGAGATGGGAGGTTAACTTCAGAAAACTTATCATTTATGGAAAAAAACTACAATTTTCTTCTTCAACTGTTTATAATAGTATCTCAATTTATTTGATGAGTCTTTGATCTTATGTACATTACTTTAGTTATCTACAAAACTATGCTGCATCGTCTTATATTTTTTGGTATGGTTTTAATATAGTCGGGAATATTATTCATCCAAAATATTCGATTACCTATAGTACTTGCAAAGAGAATTGGTATCTCAATACCGAGTCCTGCTGCACTCAAATTTATTAGATCATTATTCGAGAAATACTGCTAACATCAATCTCCTTTTTTATTTTATTATTGAACGGGTTGTCGACATATGTTTGTATCGCGATTTTTTGTGTGAGATGTTTCAGTCTTGGGATGTTTTGGGTTTATATGTTATTGTCCGATATATTATTTCTGAAATAAAAAGAAGGGGAGGTAACTGCTAGACTTAAAAGTATGTAGGCTAACATAGAAAAACATTTTTTTTTATAACAGAAATCTAAATCTACTCTATCATTTTAAATCGATTGTATACCTAACCCAGGAAAAAAATGGTCTATGACTACAACTGGATTTTGGCCAAGGAACCATACATTTGGAAAATATGAAAATCATGAAGTTGTCATTTACAAAAGTAGTGTAACAAGGGGCATACGAAGTAATTCAAGGTCAAGCACTGTAAATCTTATATTTGATATTATGATAAATATATATCTCCTATGATTTGGATTCAAAACATCACAATGTATATCCAAGCCCATTTTTTCTAATACGTTATTGAGAATTTGTCAATATTTAGCAATACAAACAGAAACTTTGAAGAAGAAAGAAGAGAAAGGTACAGGAATGATAGTGACTTGAGTAAATATGATTTGCCTGAAAGGCAATATCCACGACATAAGGTGCGAACTATTCACATCAGTTTTTGTAGAGCGGTGAAAATGGAGGTGGAATCATGAAACTATGAAAATTTTACGTCGTCAACACTGTTTTCAGTAATAATACTTTTACTTTTCAAACTGAATTCACACGTTTGAGGTTATCAATGTGAAATAAAACGTAAATTAGCAAATAATTACATATGTACAAGCAACAAAATCAATCGAACGTGGTGCAAATTTACTACTTATATAAAAATGTAAACGATATTATATTGCTACGCATTAAAATGTAATCAATAACCCCCCAAATGGTGTAGAAAGCTTTCGTATTCATTACTTAAGAACTGTGTTGCTTATATCTTGGAAATGCAACTAATACTGTACTTCTAAACATATACTACTGTCGGTATGTTGTTTAGAGCAAGCAATCAAATGATTTCAAAAATGGATTCAGTGTAACTAATAAGTCTACGTAGATCAGCGAAATATTTTGTAGCAATTTCAAAAGTTAGACGAAAAGCCATCACTTGCGGCACCACGGATCATTTTGTAGGGATATAAAATCCTAATGAGCTCAGTACAAGTTAATAATTGTATCCTACTTGGTACTAATCAAGTCAAACTCAGCGCATTAAATGGTTAATGTTACGTCTCACAAGTTTAAACTTCTGAGGTTTGTAGTTCGTAAGGGGGCGACAACTGGTTAACGGCAATACAAAAACGTTGTCTAATTTGTGATCGACAAGCCCGATCTTTCGATCAATTCCTTTTCACCCTTCTTCGATCACAGTACGTATATTTCTTGCTGTCCATTTGTCATTTATGAGCTTCATTTTCTTTCTGCTGTGATTCTTGCTTGCCTTCTTTTTCTGCCTCGTCTCTCAAGTGTCCCTCGCATTTAAAGATCCCTTCTTTGTAGAAAGCGAGCCTCTGTTCATTTTCAAAAATTCCTATGCAGGGGTCTCAGATTTACAGATGGTTTATATGAGTTTGTTGATTCTCGAACTCTAACTCAGTTATTACTGCATTATGGTAAGGTGTCGACCCAATCTCAGAACTTGCTTCATCTTGCTGTCTAGGAAAGAAAAAGAAGAGCAATTCGATTCTTATTTTTTACCTTATTCACTTCAAACAGTATCTCGGTCTTTTTTTTTGGGGGGGTTGAGGTTCATCCAGAAATTGTACAAAAAAAAACTTTGAAAGTTAACATGAAGATCACTGAAGCCTGTAGCTTGTACGTGATATTGACCTCTAATATAATATAATCCTACACACAGGAAATCACTTATTTATTCAAAAAACCAGCGATTAAAGTTTATTACAATCATAATCTTTCATTATATTGTATAAGCAATAGAAATTGAATTTACAGTACCTATGAAAAAAACCACTGTTCTTTTACTTGTTCTGAGCTTTTTTCGTCCCCTTTTTTTCTGAATCTAATCTTTCTCCATCATGTTCTCAACGTGATTACTGCAACTTCTTCAACTATCCTTCATCTTCCTCCTTTTTCTGAAACGGATGTTAAACGCCCCGCTGATCCATTGGCGACTATTTTATTTATAGTTGATCCACGGTTTCTCGTGCAATTTTTCCTGGATGTGAGAGGGTGATATTCAGTTGAAAGCTTCATTTGTCAGCATGAGGTTCCACTACTATAAATGATTCAAATCGTAAAAACTAATCGTCTCGTGGTTCTGATGAGCGTGAGCCGAGGTTTTCCAGGCGACCAGCTAGCTACTCGTGAAAGTGCGTGATTTATGTGAAAAACAATCTGTATAGCAAATGCCGATTCGACGTCCGACTCGACACAACTGCCTCGTGCGTCCGCTTTGTACAGTTTTTCAACTCTAATATTTGTAATATCACAATTGCTACGATTTGAACATTGCCTGAAATTGAAAGATGTATCTTTTATATTTTGTTATTTATTGAATTGTTTCAAAGTATTTGTTCGTTTCTACGAGTCTACTTTAAACTGTAATATCTCAGTGAATACTCATTCAACTTGATAAGCGCCATCTGAATCGATGCTCAGTTGTCAACATAACGCGAGTCGATTAATTCCGTCAGCATAAAGTTTGTGTGCTCGTGATTCGATGAAGTCGAAGAAGGCCGTTTTTGCCTGGTCCTGGTTGGTGGAGGTTCTACCGGTGAGAAAGTACTTGAAAAGATGGTACAAAGTTGGCGAGAGGTCTGGAGAGTATGGTGATCGATTTCCTCAGGATAGGACGCTGCTGTGATGGTTTGGCCCGGTTGCTGAAAGTTACGGTGAATCACACCAGCCGCTGATCACCGTACATGAATCATGGTCTTTTTTTGGTGAGTTTTCGCCTTTGGGAGGTTCCTGGATGGCTTATCATGTTCAACCACTGTTCTGGAAGTCTCCTGTTGTCGTAGAGGACCTACTTTTCATCACACGTGACGATCGGACCCAAAAAAGGATCGGAAGCAGAGAAGAACATCGAATCGTGACAATTGATGTCGATCGTTCAAATTGTGGGGGACCAACTTTTCGAGTTCCTTGACCTTTCCAATACCTAGCCACTAACTAAATTCACTTGTTTTCGTAATATCATCGAATAACATTACTGGCTGGATGGCCCGCGCGCTTTTATATGAGGCAGCGGGCGGGCCTAGAACTCTCGAGAATGGAGACTAGAAACTTCTCGCTTCGCATTGAAGCTTACCGCTAACTATTGTACACTTTGACAACTATCGGACAGGAAATAATTACTGTCTAGTCCCCTATATGGCGTTACACGAAGAAACGAGTGTTAAGCGAAAGGAGCGGTATAGTTTGTGTTAAAAGCAAAAAACAAATTTTAAATTGCCATCGCCCACTTTGTGAAAGACTTATGTATAGTAATAAGCTGAATTGAAATCGTTTCATATTGGTTTTCTTGGTGTGACACCGATTATGATGGTATAAACAAGTTTTTGTAATGGAAAATTCTGGGGCCGTATGTAGGTTAGTTTATTGTTCATGGAATTGTTTCGAAATCAACTGCAATGATTATGGGATAAGAATACCTCAAAATTATATTACTTTCTCATCTATAGCTTGTACGGAAATATGTAATTGCAAGTGATTCATAAAGATGTTTTTCAGGAAAACGAACAGGAACGTCTACTTAGCCTCAAAGCTATCCTCAAGAATGGAAAGTATGACAATATATTTGAACTCAGTTACGTCAATGGAGTCGAACATTGGTATTGTAGAGCGTGTGAGTGCCCCGTCATGGGAAGAGTATTCCAGCACGAAGTTGGAAAACGTCACAACCAGAGTTTGGCGACTACAAATCGGCATTTCGAAACACAACGGCAGGAAGAACCTGCCGAAGAGGTTGTTTCTCTGGAAATTGCACCTGGGGAACCTGTTCCGCCCGGATTCGAGGAAGAGGTTGGCAGGTCATCACAGATTCAGGTAGTGCTGGATAAATTTTACACGGTAAACCATATAAATGACTCGGAAATAGTGGGCTGTATAAATTATGTAACACTAACCAAGTCTGTATCTTTTTTTCAAAAATGTTGATGTTGTTGAGTTTTTCCCTCTTGACTTTATTTCACTGAAAATACAACACATATACTTTAACTGAGTCTTCAGACTAATGTTCAAATGCCTATCGCCTTATAAGATCACTTCGTACCGCACTTTCAACTAAACTTCCTCGATATGCCTGTTGGCAGTGTTTATATATGGCAATGGAAGTCTCTGAAAGCCGATAGGGTAGTCTCTCGAAGCCACGTGACGTCTAGAACGATCGCGAAGCGCAATAGTTGAGCGCGATCTTGGCCAAGTCACAGTAGATTGACGAAGACCAGTGGCGGCCGGCGTTATTTTGTTCAGAGGATGATTTACATCGATATCAAGGAATCGATGAATATCATTCAATTACACTTGGGGTATTTTTTGTGAAATGCTTTTAACTTTACCAATTTATACCTAGCAAGGTGATCTTTCACTTCGATATTGTAGTAATGATTTCTTGGGTACAAATGGGCTGTTTGGGATGGTAGAAAATTGCCAAAAACGGCTCTCCTCCATAGGAAGACTTAACAGATTGTCTCTGGTCTGGATCCCTGGCTATACTGGCCTGAAAGACAATGAAGCTGTTGATTCCTTTGCAAAGGAGGTTGCTGGAAACAGCTTCATCGGACCAGAACCTGTCGTTGACATTGCTTTAGGTTTTGCCGAACAAAAATTGAGTACCTGGATGGCAAGAAGATTTAAAGCAAACTTCATGTGATTGATTTGATTTAAAATGAAAATAATTTTGTCACTTGTTTTTGGTTTCAAAGAAATATACTTCATTGAATTTTAAAAAATTCGTTTTTAGGAACGCTTGGATGGATTCAAAGTGGGTCCCTTGGTTGCTTTGGAGTATCTGTTGGAGCTTCAGGATGACGATATCTCGAAGGAACCATTATATTTATGCATTTTATGCGACAAAAGAGGCGACCCGCGTACAGTCTTGACCCATCTTGCTAGTTACAACCACATTTCTCAGGTAAACATTTCCTCAGTATAAGGCTCCTGAATATTTTGAATAGCTCTGTTTTTTTCTAGTACTTGCAAAAGCATTTTCCAACGTGTTGGCGTGCCCTGGCACCGTACATGACGAAACAGTACAAGAGAAATTGGCAAATCACTCTGCAAAAGATAGCCGAAGGTATTGAAAAGAAATTTGGACGTCTGAAGCCATATCCCATTGAGAAAGATAAGTTTGATAAAGATAGAATGCACTATCTTCAAATCGTCGTCAAAGGCAAACATTTCTCAGAACGGTCGGGATATACTTTTGAAGAACTGATCGTTCATGACGAGTTAACAAAATCTCTCGAAGGTAAAATGAATTCATAGTAGAGTGATATTGACTTTTATTAATGTTTCGATTTTTGCAGATGAAAAATCTTATGAAAGTTCTTCCGTCAATAACTGGGGATCAACATTTATTCAGAAACCGTTCAAGAAAAAAGATCCCTCTCCGCCAGTGGTGGGCCTACCCTTTTCAAGAAAAAAGGGAAATGCCCAGACAAATCCTAGAAAACAGGAACCTGCTTATGTACCACCCAGCCAGAAACAAACGCCTAAGGCTCAGGCAGCTGGGAAGCCTGTTACACAACCGCAAGGCAAGGCTCAAGTTCCTGCCAGTTCTCAAGGCACCCGACCAGTTCCTAAGTCGGATCAGCGAAGAAGAAGGTCGTTGTCAAGTGTCTCCAGTATTTCCAGCAGTGAATTGAATGATGATGACGGTAAAAGTAAAGATGCTCATAAGTTTGACAAGAAAAGAGAGCCTCCTCAACCCCAAAGAAATGAGAGGTCTCTTCCATATTCAAGGTGAGCATCGGAATTTCTATACTTCATAGATTTCGTAAAGTTATAAATTTAATTTTCAGGCGTAGATCTCCGATCCCGAACCGAAGACAACCATCGCCTAGACGAAGATCTAGGTCTCCAAGACGTAGATCCTCATCTCCGAGGCGCAGATCTCCATCTCCGAGGCGGCGCAGATCTCCATCTCCGAGGCGCAGATCTCCATTTCCGAGGCGCAGATCTCCATCTCCAAGAAGGGACCAAAGGAACGTACCTGTTCAAAAACATGTTGATAAGAAAACTGAACAGGAACAAGAACAAATCAGGAAAATTGAGGAATACAGAAAACTTGCCAGGGCCATAGAAAATGATTTGCAGAAGACATTGAAACAGCATGAGAAGAATCCAGAAAAACATCCTCAGTATAATGAGGAGTGGAAGAAATTCTGGAACAGAAGGTAAGTTCAATGAATGTAAACTTTCATGGCCGGAGATGACTGTGAAAGCTATTTTTCGAGTTTTTTGTGTGTGTTTTTTGTGGGTTTATGTGTTTTTGTGCGTGTGTTTATGTGTTTTTGTGCATGTGTTTTTGTGCGTGTGTTTGTGTTTTTGTGCGTGTGTTTATGTGTTTTTGTGCGTGTGTTTATATGTTTTTGTGCGTGTGTTTATATGTTTTTGTGCGTGTGTTTATATGTTTTTGTGCGTGTGTTTATATGTTTTTGTGCGTGTGTTTTTGTTTTTTGGGCGTGTGTTTTTTGTACGTGTGTTTGTGCATTTTCTGTACGTGTGTTTGTGCATTTTTTGTACGTGTTTTCTGTACGTGTGTTTGTGCGTTTTTTGTACGTGTGTTTGTGCGTTTTTTGTACGTGTGTTTGTGCATTTTTTTGTGCGTGTGTGTGTTTGTTTTTGTGCGTGTGTGTTTTTTTGTGCGTATGTGTTTGTTTTTTGTGCGTGTGTGTTTGTTTTTGTGCGTGTGTTTGTTTTTTGTGCGTGTGTTTGTGTGTTTTTTGTACGTGTGTTTGTGTGTTTTTTTGTACGTGTGTTTGTGTGTTTTTTGTACGTGTGTTTGTGCATTTTTTGTACGTGTGTTTATGCATTTTTGATACGTGTTTTCTGTACGTGTGTTTGTGCGTTTTTTGTACGTGTGTTTGTGAGTTTTTTGTAGGTGTGTTTGTTTTTGTGCGTGTGTGTTTGTTTTTTGTGCGTGTGTGTTTGTTTTTGTGCGTGTGTTTGTTTTTTGTGCGTGTGTTTGTGTGTTTTTTGTACGTATGTTTGTGTTTTTTTTTGTACGTGTGTTTGTGTGTTTTTTGTACGTGTGTTTGTGCATTTTTTGTACGTGTGTTTATGCATTTTTTGTACGTGTGTTTGTGCATTTTTTGTACGTGTGTTTTTTGTACGTGTGTGTGTGTGTGTTTGTTTTTTGTGCGTGTGTTTATGTTTTTGTGTGTTGTTTGTTTTTTGTGCGTCTTTATGTTGTTTTTTGTACGTGAGTTTGTGTGTTTTTGTGCGTGTGTTTGTGTGTTTTTTGTTTGTGTGGTTATTGTGCGTGGTTTGTGTGTTTTTTTTTGTGCGTATGTATGTTTGTTTTTTGTGCGTGCGTGCGTTTGTTTTTTTTATGCGCGCGTGCGTGTGTGTGTTTGTTTTTTATGCGTGCGTGCGTGTGTGTTTGTTTTTTGTGCGTGTGTTTATGTTTTTTGTGCGTGTGTTTATGTTTTTGTGCGTGTGTTTTTGTGTTTATTTTTGTACGTGTGTGGGCATTTTTGTGTGTATAATTTTGCGTGTATTTTTGTATATTGTGTTGTGCGTACGTTTATGTGTTTTTTGGGCGTGTGTTTGTGTTTTTTGTACGTGTGTTTGTGTGTTTTTTTGTACGTGTGTTTGTGTGTTTTTTGTACGTGTGTTTGGGCATTTTTTGTGCGTGTGTGTCAGTTTTTTGTGCGTGTGTGTTAGTTTTTTGTGCGTGTGTTTATGTTTTTTGTGCGTGTGTTTGTTTTTGTGCGTGTATTTTTTGTGCGTGTTTTTTGTACGTGAGTTTGTGTTTTTGTGCCTGTGTTTGTGTTTTTGTGCGTGTGTTTGTGTGATTTTTGTGCGTGTGTTTTTTGTTTGTGTGGTTTTTGTGCGTGGTTTTGTGTTTTTTTGTGCGTGTGTATGTTTGTTTTTTGTGCGTGTGTTTGTTTTTTGTGAGTGTTTGTTTTTTGTGCGTGTGTTTATGTTTTTGTGCGTGCGTTTTTGTGTTTATTTCTGTATGTGTGCGCGCGTTTTTGTGTGTTTAATTTTGCGTGTATTTTTGTGTATGTATTTTTGTGTATGTTTTTGTGCGTATTTTTGTCCGTGTGTTTTTGTGCGTATATTTTTGTGCGTGCGCGCATGTGTGTACTTTATTGGAAAAACGGCTTAATTTTGTAACAAAATACACAAAGGCTGAATTACTTTGGTTGTACCGATTCAACAAAATTGTAATTTTGAGTCAATTAAATGCATTCATTATTATTATTTTGTAAAATTGTCATGTTGGTGTATATTTCAGATACAAAGAATTGAAAGCTGAAGGAGTTGACGTAGCTAAACACGATTTCAAACCAGAATGGATTGAATTTTGGAACAAGAGAATGGTTGAGTTACATAGTGACGAAGTGAGAAATAGAAAAGATGCTTTGAGAAGGAGGTAAGGACAAAATTCGAAGTGGCATTTGAGAATTGTTGAATAGTCAACTAATTTGTTTGATTCATAACAGGTTAGCACTCCCTGAAGAAATCAATCCGATCAAATTCACGATCGGTGCTCCAGCACAACTAGCAAAGACGAGTCCCAAGCGTCTCCCTATGGCCGCACAACCCGATCAAGACGATGAAGTTATTTTGATAGATGACAAAGATGATGACGTTCCATCCTTGAAACGATCCCGCAGTCCTTGGGAAGAGGACATGGCGGCAAAAAGTAAATCATCAGAAAAACGACGATCTTTGAGTCCTAGAACCAAAAGGTCGAGAGATAAAAGTCCTGCTAGACGTTCTAGATCTCGAGATAGGTACAGTGACGTACATTCCAGGTCTAGATCGAGAGACCGCAGCACGTCAGTTCGTTCAAGAGATGTTCCCCGGTCCAAGGAATTTGATCGAGAAAGGAATTCGTCGAGGTCGAAAGAATTCGAGAGGGGGAGGGATTACAAAGGCTCCAAAGATGCTCCAAAGAGGTCACGTTCTAGAGAGCGGTCTTGGGAGAGAAAAGATTCGGAAAGGAAAAGAATGCCTTATAGAGAGAGTTCGTTCGAGAGGGATCTCAGGGCGAAAGAGAGAGTTAGAACCGTCGCAGACCTTCCTTGGGAGAGAGAGAAAGGTATATTTATTTTATTTGAATGGATTTTTTCCGCCTCTTTTTTAAACTTTGCAAATCAGATCAAATGATCTGAAAACCATGCGATAACAAAAAACTTTGAAAAAGTCTAAATAGTCTGGAATAATTGGTAGGGAAATAGTTGATGACAAAAAATTGCATCAAAAGTAAGAATTCATTCCTCCAAAAAAAAATTGTGAGTTTCTGTAGAGGTAACAATGATATTTCTGGTATTAGAATTGCGAGGGTGGTCCCAGAAGTACCTGTCTCAACAAAAAAAGATGCTATGACCTTGCCTGCAGATGAAACGGTCTTCGCCTTCTTTTGAGCCGGTTCTTCCTTTTAAGTCTACTGTTTTGATTGTTCTTTCATCTCAGATGTAAATTGATGGACCCATGTTTCATCCATGATTAGGAAATGACGCAAGAATACTGCTTTGGTGCTGTGAAACTTCGCTAAATACTCGATTGAAACATCTTCAGGACACTTTTTGCTCGAGTGTGAGCAAACGCGGCATCCATCTTGCACATAGCTTTCTCGTGTCCAAGTTTTCACATAATGTACGATGTACCGCGCTTTTTGAAATGCCTACTAAGTTTGCTAGCTCACGAACTTTCAGTAGACGATCATTTAGTACAGCTTTGTGGATGCTCGTTTTGGCAGGTTGTATTGCACGTTGAGATTCAATTGTCATTAACGGAGATGTGGCTTCGTTCCTTTCTGACATGTTGCGTCATCTTTGTTTTTTCTTTGTCGATAACATTCTGCATTCGTTTCTCTTTCATTTGATGTGCTGCATGTTAAGATCCAAATATCATGAGTGAAATTGTGACTTAATGTCTTTCTGACATGTTGCGCCATCTTTGTATTCTCTCGTCAATTAATTCTGGATTTTTTGTCCTTTCATTTGACGTGCTGTAAGCGAAGATTCGATTATTACTCCGGCGTGTAATTCAATGTTTATATGAAAGTAGCTGTTTCAGGAGAACTTTCTTTCAGTTTGTGTCTGAAAGTTACTTTTTTGCATGATCTACATATCCATGTATAGAATTACTTATTTTCAAATTGATTACTTCCTTCCTTTCATTGGAAGATTTCCTCATCCTTTTGGAACCTCCTGTTCCACATATAAAAGATGGGACAAATCCCTATAACTAGCCTTGCATGAAATCTTAGTGATATTAGTTGAGATTTTTAGAAGCATTTCTATAGCGAAACACTTACTGCGTTTTTGTAAAACTGTTCGGTGAAAATCCCACAATAAAGTGTTTTTTGAATACGTTTTGGATTTTCATTAAGTATTGGTCGATTCCATCGTGGCTGTATGGCAATCTAAGGCATTTCCAGTGTCCCTTTTTGACAAAGGCGAGAGCTTTGAAAATTGTATTTTATTAATGGGAAGACCTTGTTTCACTTTATCATGGTTTATTATAAATATACAAATGAAAACCCCTTTTACCTACTTTTACCTGTACACAAAACAAATTTTCAACTTGTACCTTCATAGTATATTCTCAGCTTACAGAGTACCAATACCAATGGAGGAATTCTACAAACCGCCTCCAATTATGCGTGATGCAACTCGAAAGCCTGTAATCATTCAAGAAGTACCTCGAAATCCTGTTATACCAAAAGAAGGGTCCATGTTTCTACCAGAAGAGGAAGACGATGACGGTGAAGTCAACGTTGTTGACGTTCTTCGAATATTGACTGCTCTGGAAGAACGCTTGGGATCGCTTGGTCCTAAAGTGATAGATTTGCTTGCACAGGCACTCGCTCTAGAGAAAAAAGAAGCCAACAGTTCGGAAGCACTATTAGACAACGATATAAACTGCGTTCTGTTCGAGACGGTCAAGGAAAAACTGAAGGGCCAGATGCTCGCAGGGCTGGTCGATTTGATACAGGAAAGAGCTTTCAAGAAAGCCATCAAGAAGATTGCTGGTTTGATTCATTTAGCGGGGCAGAGGAAACGTCAGAGGGAGAAGTTGTTGCCGAAAGTAACGCCAGTTTCTGTTCCCGGCATTGGTACTGTCGATAAAGCAGCAATAGCTAAACAAATAGCCAACGCACTTGTTGCACAAGGAAAGACTGACGTTACACAAGCAGAGTTGGAGCAACTTATTAATGCTGTGGTGAGTATTGCATAAGAAACCAACAAAATATTGGGTCGGGGTACTACACATACATATAAAGTCGTAGGTTCACGTGATAGTCAATAAGGTGTTTTTTCACCTACCTACAAAGTTGTAGGCTCACATGATAGGCAAAGGGCAAGAAGTTTTTCACCTGAACTTGAGCATGAGAGATGCATGTGACATGCTCAAGTTCATGTGAAAAATATCTTGCCCGTTGCCTCTCATCTGAACCTATGACTTTGTAGGTAGGTGAAAAACACCTTATTGACTCTCATGTGAACCTAAGACTAGGTACTGCACATGCCTACAAAGTTGTAGGTTCGCATGAGAGGCAAGTAGTATGGTGTTTTTCTCCTGAACTTGGGCATGTCATATGCACTAATTTTTGGGAAAGAAAGATGGAGTAGCAGAAAGCCAACAACTTTGTTTCCCTTGATTGTTTATTATTCTGACTCACACCAAAGAGTATGCGTTTGTGGAGTTGTTTCCTGACTTTGTCTGCAGATGGCGCAGTGGACATCCTACTGAATTTCAATTATATTCAACGGTTTTTTTGTTTGATTTTGATTTTTTGTATAGGGAATGATGCCTCAAATACATCTATTAAGATGTTGTGAAATAAAGGGAAAGGATCATTATGTGATAGAATAATTTCCCAGTCAGTCTGAAGACAATTCTGATAGAACCTATTATAATTTGTCCTGCTAAATAGTCTTCCATATTTACATTTGTTTTGCTTCTTTGACAACCAGAACAGCACTGAGCAGCAAACTGCCTCATGAGGTTCGTTCCAACCAGCGTCAGAAACAGTTTCTGACAGTCAGGATTCTGCGCAGTAATGTGATTGCTTTCCAACGTGAGTTTCCAACCATTAGTAAATTATCAGTTTTCTGTTCCATCCAAGATTCAAACCTGTTCGAAATCTATCAGAATGGTTTGAGGATTATCTTCTAACCATCAATCTGACGCATGCGTATTCCGTATTACTGTTTCTGTTTTATGTTCATGCAACTTACAAACAACATAACCTGCAAAAATTGTTATAAAATAAATTATGTATTTGCTGGCGCAGGAAAAATTGGGAATTCTTTAAGTGAACCTATAATATGAACATCTTTAATTACACAAATTAATTATTGCGGTGACCTCCCAGTTCCATGTTGATAAGTAAATAGAATAGAGATATAAAATACTGCAACCTTCTTTTACTCTCCAGAAATACACTTGATTAGATTTATTTTTAAAGAATTGAAGGGGTTATATTTTTATGAGTGACATTCGTTGTGGAATGTTTGAAATAAAAACTGAGTAGAGAAAAGTATCTTCTGTATAATTCAGTGTTCATATAGAAGTATTTGTTTCGAAAGAATTTTTTTTTTCTTTCGTGTAATTCAATGTTTATATGAAAGTAGCTGTTTCAGGAGGACATTCTTTCAGTTTGTGTCTGAAAGTTACTTCTTTGCATGATCTACACATCCATGTATAGAGTTACTTATTTTCAAATTGATTACTTCCTTCCTTTCTTTGCAAGATTCCCTCATCCCCTTTTTTTTGATTTAAGATGGAGTAGTAGAAAGCTAAAAACTTTCTTTCCCAAATTATTTTTAAAGGTTATGTTGAAATTCCATGCCAAACTTCAGTTGAACTAACCTGAAGAGCTGACTGAATGAACATAATACTTTCTTATTAAGGACTCCATAACAAATAGCATGCTAACAGCACTTTATGTTGAAAAAATCCATATCTGTAATCTGTCATACGAATAAATTGGATCTAATAAAATCGTTTCTTTTAAAGTTCACCAGATCTTTTGTATACTCGTATAAAAAACTTGGAAAAAATGTTCAGCATATTTATTAAAATTTCATTTCAGGTTGGTATGGCAGAGGCATCTAAAAATTCCAATAAACCTGTCACGACAGCAAACTTTTTGCAGCAACTAGCCGGAGGGAATTTGTTACCTTCCCCCACCAAAACCGATCCAGTGTCCCAAGAGAAAACAGTTATCCCAAGTTCAGCAAAGAAAGAGGAGTCTGTTAGTCTCGAAAAACTCACTGAACCTTTGACTCCTAGTTCTGGAAAAAATTCTGTGAGCAACATGGAGAATTTATCTGATTCAGACTTGCAGACCCTCTTGCAGAATTTCAAAGACCTCTGTACAGACGAACAGCACAATCTTATAAATTATTTGAAGAAGTTGGAGTTACAAGAACCAGAGAGGGTAGAAAGGTTGAGGAAGTTTGTAAATCTCGATCCCACTGGTAAAGGTAAAGACGAAGAATCGACGCACAAGGGTAAAAAGAACAGAGAAAGTCCATTCTCGAATAGATTAGGAAGTTTGAACCCCACTCAGGATGATTTGGTCAAAATAGAATCTGACGAGGAAGATATGAAATTTGACGATGAAGAAAAAGATGAGAAAGAACCGGCAGAAGCAGAAAAGAAGTCTGAGAAAACCACCGAAAAAGTACATGAAGATTCCGAGGAGGAAGACTACACATTCGAAGACGTTGTGAAAACTGTTTCGAAGAATGTTAAAGATAATGAAATGGCACACAGTAAAAAGATTGTTGAGGAAAGTATGAAGTTTGAGAACTCCAAAGCGAAGCCTGAATTGAGTAGCGCTAAAGACCTCATTTCTAATCTGATGGGTAGCATCAGCAAGACCACTGCCAATTCTGGAAATATAGATTTGTTGGGTCTGGGTGTTGGCCAACCCAGTCAAAATCCATCAGTCAACGCTCCCAGCACAATGGCTAGTTCTATAGATTTCTCTGCATTTAGTAGTATTAATGTCGCAAGTTTAACCAGCATTGTGAATAATGTGAAGAGCATGACTTCTACAAATAGTGGAAATAAACCTCTTGACTTTGAAGCTTCACCAACGGCAAGAACTGCGGGAAAATTGTACTTCAATCCGGGAAATTTGGATAAACCGTCAGTGTCGAATATAGATCTTTCAGGATCAAGGACAGAACTAGGTTTGGGACCCAGAGGGGATCAAGGACGAAATTTCTCAGCTGCAAACAGAGGTTTCGAAGAACCACTAGGACTAGATAGAGGCACTGGAAGGCCAGGTTTTGAAGGACCTGGTAGAGGCTTTGAACGGGACCGTGGAGGACCTGACAGGGGCTATGAGAGGGATTTCCGAGGTCCAGACAGACCATTCGATAGAGACTTGGGAGGGCCAGTCAGAGATTTTGACAGGGGCCTGATGGGACAAGACAGGGGCCCGATGGCACAAGACAGGGGCCCGATGGGACAAGACAGGGGCCCGATGGGACAAGACAGGGGTCCGATGGGACAAGACTGGGACCCGATGGGACAAGACAGGGGCCCGATGGGACAAGACAGAGGCTTCAATAGAGGTCCTGATCGGGATTATGATAGAACTTTCAGAGGACCTATGGAGATGGATAGAACATTTGACAGACCTATGGTTGGAGCTGACAGAAGAATGGTTCCAGAAGAAAGAAATTTCGGGGGACCTGACAGAGGGTTTGGTGTGGGCTCAGGACCTGATAGACCACTAGGCGGAGTTGGTAGAGGATTTGATAGAGAGGCAATGGGACCAGACAGAGGTTTTGGTGGTTCTGACAATTACTTCAACGGGCGAGATAGAGGGTTTGATGGGGGCTATAAAGGACCTGAACGACCGTTTGGAGGTCCTGGTGGTTCAGTAGGTGGTAATCGAGATTCGTTAGGACCAAGGGGTGGTCCTTCTTTCGCATCAAGAGATAACATGCCATTTGGTGATCAACCATCACAGCGGTTATTACCAAGGCCTGGTGGTGGTAATCCTAGGTTTGGTGGCCCCGGTCCCGACTATGGTAGAGGTAATAATTTTAATAGATGGTAAATACTATTAATTCAGATATGTTTTATAGGATTAAGATATGTGTACAATTCAATAGATAATAAAAATTTGTGCTACTCGGATTGTTTTTTGTTATAGAACAGCATATGACATTTTTCATGCCTTGCCTGAACTCCAGAACACATATTATTGCAGTGAATTAGAAACCTTATCTTACAAAAAATAAATTTAACCTAAATTTTTGAAATCGATTGAAAATTCTGTGAAATATGGTTGAGAATATTTAAAAAATATCCCGACCCCGAAGATATTGACTTATATCGCAGGTTGAAAAATGGGATTTCCCATATTCCACTGTTATTTAATGACAGCCTAGAAAAATCGAACTTTGCATGCTCAAGATAAACTAGGTCCTATGTTTCAATGTTCGACGATCAGACGAAACTTTGTGAACACCCATTATTAGAAGGTAGGAATTGATGTACATTTCGGAAAATAAACCAGGCATTTTGCAATAATAATGTGATTAAAAAAACAGTGTTTAACGTTGGTTTGCGAAATTTTGATCCAGAGATTTCAGAAACGGAGTGGTAAATACTGACAAATGGTGCAGTAGGTGGCGGAAGAACCAGACGTCAGCTTCTATGCGGTTTTTGATAGTTTTAAACGTATTTAAAAATTTGAAAAATGGCTGCCTCACGATTTGAAGGATCCACAGAAATTGTCACGTTTCGAGATTTCTTCTTTGCTTTTGCGCAGCCAAAACAATCCTTTTTTTATCTAATCATAGTCAGTGGATATTCTACGACAATAGAAGACTTTCAGGACAGTGGTTGGACACTGATGAGAGCCACCTAGGTACTTTCCAAAGGCGAAAAAACGAGAGACCATAGTTATTGTATGGTAGTCAGCGGCTGGTGTTTGGTTTTCCGTGTTATGCACCACTTCCTTGCCACAATGGTCCACTGATCGATAAGGCAGCAAGCCAGCAAGTGTCAAAAAATGTTGAAGAAGAATGATTACTTATAGGTTATGTGCTATGTGTCAGTTAGGTTAGTTTTAAAATAATTCAAAATAATGGATTCTTGATATTTTCTTCAGTATTTAATGTAACATTGAGTCCAAAAAATGCTTTTGGAAAAATTCAGATATGTGTTTGGTAGATACCGATTCCGATCAACACATAAGCATTTCAATCGAGCAATTACTGTTTCGGCATCTAAATATAACAATGAAAAAGATAAAAAAGCTGTAATCCAGTGGGATAGTTTTGAAAATATGCAAGATAAAAATAAAAACACATACCTTGAGATGGTAAAAATTTTCATAAACCGTGACCACATATATCGCAGGGGCCATGTTGAATTTATATATTCTGCTCTAAAAAATATGAAAACCTTTGGAGTAAATAAGGATCTCGAAGTATACAAAGCCCTCATAGATATTTTACCTAAAGGTGAGTGTGTGACTGAAAAATAAAGTAGTATTAAGATCAGATAGGTCCTGAAAATCGATTTTTTCAGGAAAATTTATCCCAACCAATATACTTCAAGCTGAGTTCATGCATTATCCTAAACAGCAACAGTGTATCATCGACTTATTAGAACAAATGGAAGATAACGGGGTTATGCCTGATTTCGAAATGGAAGATTTGCTATTGAATATCTTCGGAAAGAGAGGTTTCCCGCTTCGAAAATTTTGGAGAATGATGTATTGGATGCCCAAGTTCAAAAATTTATCCCCTTGGCCGGTACCTGACCCTTTGCCCAAAGATACTTTCGACTTAGCAAAATATGCTATTGAACGTATAAGTAGTGTTGATATTACCTCTGTGGTGACTGTTTATCAGAGCGCTGACATTCCGGACTCTATAGATGATACCTGGATAGTGAGTGCCCAGAGTAAAAATCAGAAGCGTCTGTTGTCTGAAAATAAAATTGACGAACCTGTTTATGTAGAAGGTATGTTAGTTGGTAGTATATACAGTATTTAAAGAAATATTCTTCTTTCTGTGAAACAAATTATACCTTTCTAGATTTTCTTCAAAAATGGATTAATTCTACATGTTATTGCAATTTTTATGATTTGTTCAGTATTTGATGAAAGTTCAACGGAAATTCCCAGATTTGACAAGAATTTTGAACCAGAGATTAAAGTCATAAAAATATGTTCTATAACTACTTTTAACCAATAACCTGATGGGTGACTTGAAGTTAGTTGCAGTATATTGTTCTATAAGAACGTCATCATCGTCATCAACAAATATTTAAAGTGTTATCAATCAAATCATTTCAGGTTCCTTCAAGATTTGGATTAAGGGAAATCCCATCAACTACTTCATATTGAGAGGTAAACCGAGGCCGGTAGTAGAAAAAGACGTAGATATTGACGATGTCAGCAAATTGAAAGTATCACTCTACAATTTAAAGCCGCCAGTTGGAAAATATCTGCAAACTACTCCATCAGTTCACGAACAAGAAGATGGTGTGATATATGCTGTGTGTGCTACTGGCACATCCAGTAAAGATTCGTTATTATCTTGGATCAGACATTTAGAAAAAGACAGTAACCCAATATTAGAACAGGTACCTATCGTGTTTACTCTGAAGTCGGGAGTGAAAGAATTAGCAAATGTGCAGGATGATGAAGTGGTTGAAGAAACAGAAAAAATTCAGGAGAAGTGAAAATATTGAATATGGAATAACCGTGGGTTGGATGTTACACTACAGAATAGATGCCTCCGAAGATTTCGAGCTTAGGAGGATGGAAAACTGTGTGGAACACAGAATAACGGTGAGCATAATTGGATTAGGAGCATTGCTGCAGGGTCCTGGCACGTCCAGTATTATTCATAACATAACAATGAAGCCTGATATTTTATTGTTTTCAATATACATTTTTTCCTTGTTATTATTTTAATTATTAACTAAACCATATTGATGTTTACAATGTTTCATAAATCTTGAAATGCGGTGTGTATATTCTCAGCTGTTAGATTGTTTAACGAAATTTGTTCAGTAGGTAAAGTTTCAAGGTATAAAAAAATTTATTCTGATCTAGTCCAATGCGTTATTTCAATCCAAAAACAAGCATTCTCGCAATCACCAGATTTGCAATATGCTACTCGACACGTGTTTGATCAATCAAGTTGGTGACATCAGGAGATGAAGAAAACTTCTTGAGAAGTTAATACGAATTTAAAAATAAAGGAACACAAACATTATATATCAAGTTTATTGCTTATTCTCTAAGACACATATCACAATACACTTTTACACAAAATTAAACCTAAAAGTACGTCCTTGTATAAAAAATATGTATAAAATCTTATATTAAAAAAATACTCATTTATATTAGGAAAACTGAATCTTTGAATGGCACCACATTATATACAAAAATAAAAAAAATAAGAAAACAAGAATATGAAATGTTTTCTCCTTTCTTGGTTGGAATACGAACATAAAATATACAAATCTGAATTGAAAATTGAGGAAATCCATTGGAATGGATCTGGAGCGGAACAAAAAATACTGAAGAAAGAGGCGTTGAAGGAAAATTCACATGCGGCGGGAAACAAGTCTAAAACCCTCTCCTATGAAGTGCCGTGAATATGACGAACACGAAAAGCATTATATTGGTACTTATGAGGCTGACATGAATGATGGAAAATGCAGATGTGATGTATACGAGCGTTTTCAAATTTCAGTATTTGCAGTTATAAAATATTTACAGGGAATAGCAATTTGTGCTAACTACAGTGGAAAAATAAATATTTGTATAAGACACCATAATCACAGACTATTTACAAGTACAAGATGATAACGAGATAAATTTATGTACAATTTTTAAAATGTAGAAAATTTATGTACAACTTTAAAAACGAAAATATTCAGAATGTTTTCATTTTCATTTTGTTTGACAATCAAACATTGATTCACTCAGTTTTTGCTTCATTAATTCATAGTTATACTTTAGTACTTACACTGATTACATTTTTCTTACACTATAAGGATGTAAATGAATGATAATGAAATAAAACCTAGAAGGAACTCATAATGGATTTAGTTGTTTTCAGAAATATTCATGCTTTTTTTTTGATAACATGTACAGGGCTAGTCAATAGTTCCTGCGAATTTTTTTGTTAGAAAACAATAAATTCTCAATCATTTTCAAAAAACTCTACAAAAATCCGTGAACATACTTCCAAACATTTATTTTGTTCACATTATTTGGAAATTCCAAGATAATAGTCTATATCTGGTTCTATTTTGTGAATTCACAGTTCAGATAATATATTTTTAATAAATATGAAAGCTTGTTTGCGGTGGAAGCTGCAGGAAGATGAACACCAATTCCCCATTTGGTGGTAAAATGGGCCACTGTCAAGAATGGACTTACTATCAATCTCATAAAAGAGATAGGTACTGTTCTCAATATACGAGGTCTCCTCAAAAAATTAGTCGAATTTTCAAATTTCGCGGGCTACTTACATTCCATTAACTACTTTTTTATGTTGGTAAACTCGTCTCGAACATATGTCCACAGTTACAGCCGTTCAACATGCTTAGTTTGTTGGTGAGAGGCATAAAAGTTGGAAGTGCTATTGAGAAAAATGAATTGATGAATTTGCAGCAAATGTTGTGAAAGAAATGAAATTAAGCCCTCAAAAGCACTGGAAATATTGACAGTGGCGTACGATAGGTTGCATTTTATGTTTCGGTATTTGGCAACCCTGGTGTTGCAATCTGGCAACTGACAGCTCTATCGTGAAGTTGGACATTTTTGAGGTTATACGTACTACGAACATTTTGACATACGCGCCCTATTTGTGTTGTTTACAGTAACTTAAAATATTTATCTGGGCCCAAAAATGGAATTAAATCGTGAACATTTTCGTGCGATTATTTTTTACAACTTTCGACGTGGATTAACTCAGCAACAGTGCATGGACGAACTGAATTCAATTTTTGGCGATGAAGCTCCATCAAGAACCAGTGTTTATCGATGGTATGGTGAATTCAATCGTGGTCGTAGTTGATTGTAGTGAAGGTCGCCAAAAATCAGTTGTTGTTGTTCCGAAAACCATTGATGCTGTGCGCGAACTGATATTGCAAGATCGTCATGTGACCTATGGTGAGATTGAGACAACTTTAGGCATTAGTGGGACCAGCATACATTCAAAATTCCATAAACATTTGACTGTCAAAAAAATTTGTTTGCGTTGGATCCCACACAATTTGTCAATCGCTCAAAAAAAGGCTCGTGTCGATTGGTCGAAGGAAATGCTCAAAAAATACGATCGCGGTACTTCGAAACAAGTCTATGACATCGTGATAGGTGATGAATCGTGGATTAACGCATATGAGCCCGAAAGTAAACAGCAGTCGACTATGGGTGTTTCTATACGAGACAAATCCAACGAAAGTTGTTGGCGCACGAACCAATTCCAAGCAAATGGTCGCCTGTTTTTTCGGAAAAACTGGACATGTCGCAACCGTACCACTAGAACAACGCAGAAGAGTCAATTCTAAGTGGTACACCAACCATTTGTTTGCCAGTTGTCTTCTAAGAAATCAGGAAAACAAACCGCCGAAGACGGATCACTCTTCACCACGACAATGCGAGCTCTCACACATCGGCTCAAACAACTGCATTTTTGAGCACCCAAAACATCGATTTGATGAGTCATCCGCCGTACAGTCCTGACTTGGCACCGAATGACTTCTTTTCATTCCCGTTTACAAATGATACAAGCTTTGTATGGAAGGTCAAGAAGAAGATGTGAATTGCGACGCTCTCTCTAGAAGCCCCAGCATTTCAACAACCGATGGAAGTGTTGAGAAAGTGAAAAAATTGTTTGGAGAATCGTTGAATCACTATGAGAGAAGTTACTGAGGATGTCAGCATAAAATTTGGACATGTAGCGTGTGCCAGCGAATTTAATTCCTAATTATCTTCGGGAGTTTATGTCGTATGGTCATACGGTCAAAAAGGAGTATTATCTTGAAATTAAGCGCCGCTTACAAGAATATTTTTGAGAAAAATGAAAATTCATTTTATTTTTTGAACAGACCTCATATATGACCTGAAAAACTCGAACGTGAATGGCTGACTAACTGAATCAAGACATATTGTTTGCATTAAAAAGTATACAATGGATTATAGTAGAGATGTGGATTGTAATGGACCATTAAATAATATATTCGAGTAATGTGATGGTGAGATGGTGGTGATAACCCGAATGGGGAACCAATAAACCAAAATCAGGCTATGGGCTATCGTGGCTGTTCAACTTTGTCACTAAAATTATTTTCAACAGCAAATTTAAGCTACTACGTTAAATTTTATTTGGATGGGATTTGTAACTAGTGGAAAAAATGATTCAGGAATTATATTATTGCTTTGTACAAGCTATGCAATCAATTGTGACTCTATTCTTTGACTTCTCAGACAAGAAGTCTTGTAGATAAATTTTCCATCAGAATCCGTCGGTCTAATTCTGACCCCCTGCATATATATCTGCGTCTGTAGACTTCGGTGTTATTTTTTACAAAAATAAACGAAACCTATCACAAACTCATCCATAATTGAGTTCCTTAAATGACTGTTTCACTGCCCGACCTCATGTGATGCAATCGAGGTTGTTTTCTATGGGGATGCGACCTCGACGAGTGCTTGGAGGTGGTACTCAAGCTGGTAGATATAGTCTGCGCCGGCATGTATCTCATTACTTGCGGCATGGTTTGTACTTTCAGAGGGGCCTGCTTCCTGGGTCCCAATCTTCTCAGAACCGCTCGCCATGCAGTCACGCTCTTCATCGACCAAATCCAGAAGACGCTGCTCACTCCGATGAACAAGACCATGAAGTATTTGAGCAAGAAAGCCCACAATGCCGGTTTTCTTTCACCTGCAAGCCACTGGTCCTTGTTGTTGTATTCGTAGTATATGCTTGACATTACGCAAAACGTAGGAATGGCGTACAGAGTGCAAATCGCCCCTAGAAAATCGCTTTCCTTCCGCGGAGCCGCGTTGGTTAAAGGAGCAGCCGCTAGAGGTCGGGGTTTCTTCATGACGTAACCACAGCCCAAGAAGAGGAGAATGGTGCCGCTAGCGAAGTAGAAGAAGTACGGTACTAGCACTAGGGTCAGTAGGGTGGTCGAATTCTTGTTTCCGATGTAGCAGGTTCCTGAAACAAAAAAGAGGATCTTCAAATCTGACACATGTGAGGTTACTATGACTATTGAATAAAAAACCTTAAATGTGCTCAATGAACCTTAGTTTTTTCAGTTAGACTCGGGCCATCAGGGCCACCGTTTGGACTGTATAGGGACTTCCGAACTTTGACAATTGATAACGGCCAGCTTGTTGTAGCTACATCTGTCAATTTAGTTGTCATTTATTCAGTCTGTTTTACCAAATTACCATGGACGGATATAGCATTCAACAACACGTGGAAATAATAAAATTGATTCATAAAATTTGTTCGGGCAACGTACCGCGCGCTCCGCCCATTTTATGGTCGACATTATCTTTCTACCGAGAGGACTACTTATGGTGGATAAATTTGAGTCCACTGGTTCAATAAACGATCGACCAACACCCATTCGTCGACGAAACGTAAGACCTATCGAAAAAATCGTTGCTGTCTGTGAGAGTGTGGAGAAGAATCCGAGTCAATCACTTTCACGACGTTCACAAGAGCTCGGCCTTTCGCAGACCATAATGGGGAATGTTCCTCCTGACGAGAATCAAGTAGTTTTCATAAAAGAGCTCTGAAACACCGCATTTTAAACTTATCACTTCAACCTTTTTCTTTAAAAAATTATTTAAATACTTAAAAAAGAGGAATGAAATAATGCATTCAACATTTAAAGGGATTCCTTTCTATTTCACCATTTGGCAACATCGGTTATAGCTAATAAAGGACAATGAATCTGTTACCTGTATGAGACAAACAAAGATGGCATATTTCAGAGGCGTGCTGTTGTGTTTACTTATGTTCCGAGTTCCGAGACATTCTGTGACATATGACATTTTGTGCACCTAACCTATCTTACTATATATACATAAATAACAAAACAACTGTTGTTTATGTGGCTTGTGGAGGAGGTATTGAACTATAATTTATATTTTGCCTTAATTGTTGATTTATAACGATAATTTTCCTTTTTTAAAGTAGAATATCTAGATACGTATAAATTATTTCAACTTGTTTTCAAAAACATTTTTTTTGTTGGCCTGCAGAATCAGCATCACAGCATCTCACCCAATTTTAATTAATAGCAGAATGGCAGGCCATTTACTTTATCAGATTGAACGTGTCTGGCATCGGTGCGTGTAAAAATCCTCGACACGGACATTTGAATAGCGTCCCACCGCTAAACATTTCGCCATCTAGATGCACACGAAAATTTATCGTGAGTCGTTTTTTAAGTATCGTGAACGCTGCGCGGCAACAAGTGGTGAATAATGTGGCGCGGTCCAGACAAAGCAAGCTGGATGCGAGTAAAAGCAGGCAGCTGTTTTGCATACAGTTCGAGTTTCGAGTCTCGCTTGTTTGCCTTCCAAGTGACATCGAGTAGGCCGCGATGGCAGTTAATGGGAAACCAGAGACTTTCGAGGCGTCTGGGTAGTGTTCAACATGTCTCACATGAAACGCCATAAGAGAGAGAGAGGGAAGTATGATACGACCTGTCAGGAGGCTTTTAAATACCGAAAGGTAATTCAATATGTGTCGCAGGATAAAAACTGATAGTAATTTCATGCAATCTGTCTCGTGTTCTATAAACAGACATTCATCGACGAGGTTGACGGGAAATGTAGGTGTTTGCAGTTTCACATTTACTTATTTCTTCGTAATGCTACTATGGAGGGTAGATATTGTTATATTCTTGGTACTAATCAGATAACAATGCATTTAAATAAACTACTTTAATGTTGTGAATTGTAAAACAAGATCCATCATCTTAATACCACTACTAGTCTGGCTTCAACCTCGGTCTCTCCTTTGTTCGTCAACCTAGGTATGTTCGTTGTCATAGTTCTCATAACACAGATAAAGAGAACCGTCTCATATGGAAGGAAGCTTGAAAAACTGTCCAACTTTGAGCATTAAATAATAGTTCGAAAACCCTCCAGAATGGCGCTAGCATAGGCAACGGGATTGATATGAATTAAGTTCGTCAATATAACCTAAAATTAATGCTGTGGTAAAACGTGGAGACATCTATTGAATTTTTCTATCAGCTTCAAATAATACCTTTTGTGATTTTGTAGTGCTTACTGTTATAATACATTGTAATAAATTGTAAGCAAACATGTCTCACATGAAACGCCATAAGAGAGAGAGAGGGAAGTATGATACGACCTGTCAGGAGGCTTTTAAATACCGAAAGGTAATTCAATATGTGTTTGCAGTTTCACATTTACCTATTTCTTCTCAATGCTACTATGGAGGGTAGATATTGTTATATTCTTGGTAATAATCAGATAACAATGCATTTGAATAAACTACTTTAATGTTGTAAATTGTAAAACAAGATCCATCATCTTAATACCGTTGTTCGTCAACCTAGGTATGTTCGTTGTCATAGTTCTCATAACACAGAGAACCGTCTCATATGGAAGGAAGCTTGAAAAACTGTCCAACTTTCAGCATTAAATAATAGTTCGAAAACCCTCCAGAATGGCGCTAGCATAGGCAAAGGGATTGACATGAATTAAGTTCGTCAATATAACCTAAAATTAATGCTGTGGTAAAACGTGGAGACATCTATTGAATTTTTCTATCAGTTTCAAATAATACCTTTTGTGATTTTGTAGTGCTTACTGTTATAATACATAATACATTTCAATAAATTGTAAGCAATATATTCTTCATTAATTATTAACAAGAAGTTTAACATCTACTTTAAAACTGATATTTACTTTCATTATTTTGCCTTTAAAGAACTTTTGTTCTCTACTTTTTCTACTGTCATTGGCGGTTTTCATTTATGTATTACTTCTTAAATGTTACATCGATCAAGCGTTAAGAAACGACAAGCAAGCAATTTATTATGAAACTTCGGTTTTCATTCAGCGTCTTTTTTTAAATTCACTGTAGCGGCACCCTTATTTAGCACATTTTAACGGACACTTTTTCACACACAGAGACGGTTCTTCTTATCTCTACCCTCCATAAATACTACCAACTATCTGACGGACATTGGATTTCTCAAGATGGCGGAATCTTCAATTCACCAGTTCATTTTTTTGGGTTTGTTCTAGAAATATAGGCTGTTTTAAAAGTTTTGTCAGTTTTAATGCCATATGAATTTGTAGCTCAGGCGCTTCGCTGATCAGGACCTGACAAAAACGACCTTCTTCAATCTCATCGAATCCTGAGCAGCCAATTTTTATGTTGATGAATTAACCGACTTGTGTTACGTTGGCAGAAGTGCACTTATTCAAATGGCGCTTATTTAGATTAAATTGAAGGCTGAGATATTACAGTTTCAAGTAAACTCACAATAATTTTGCTATGTTCATGTTTTGCAATTGATCAATAACCATCCCTGATTATAAAGATTGACGCCACTGCTTATTTGGATCATAACGTTTCGCAACTGCAAACAAGATTGGCTGGCCATCCCGTTCTGCAATTAAAGTTAATTAAATCTCAACAAACATTTACATATTTTAAATAAGCTGGCCATGTCCAAAGCGATTATGGCCTAACAAGCGTTCCTTATACACATCCTCGTAATTTCTTCGAAGTTATTTTCTTTATCAGATACACCCATTGCGTGTACTCGTTAATTAACAATTGCCTTTTCAGCAGGGTCGTTGGACCAGTCGAGCTGATGTCTGGTTGGCATAACTGGATGGGCTATAATTACTTAAATGCGCACCATTATTGATTCATATTGATAGAGGTGTGTAAAGGGCATTTCACTGCGACCTTTGATTCCATCCCATTTCTTTAGGGATTGAACATGGGTGTAACATTTGGCTTGTTCCGCAACTGTCGAAGTCATGAGGCTGGGTCCTAATTATCTCCGTAATTGAAATGTATTTCACAAAAATACTCGGCCCTATTTCAACCCCCTGTTCTACTGGAGGTTCAAAAGTGGAAAATGATTCAACTATAACACTGCTTGTACGACATTCTTGATGACAGTAGGTGACTAGTAGTATCATCAAATTGTTTTAGCGTGCAAACACGGTTGCATCAGTATATACTATCAAGTTGAGAATGGTCTAACAATCCGAAACACACAAAAGTTTTTTTATTTGTCCTATATTTTGGAAGGGCCTGCATACCACTTTAAAGTATCCATTTCACAAGCAACGGATGCAGGTTTTCCTAGACAATTGGATTTCTGTCATTGGTTCCTTCAAATAATCGTACAAAATCCGAATTTCACTTGTGAAGATTTATCCACAGATGAGACAATTTTTTTACGGGATATCATAAACTTTCGTAACAATAACTCTTGAGTCTACAAGAATCCCCATGCTACTGTAGGAAGTGGATTTCAGCAGGAATTTTTGGTAGACGTTTGGGCAGGAATTTTGGAAGTTAATCTCACAGGGCCGCATTTTCTTCCTCCTCGACTCAATGGTGTTTTGAATAGACAATCTCTAGAAGACACAATGCCAGAATTATTAGATTACGTACCTACCTTTGCTAGTAGTGAGACGAAATATGCGGTTTATGCACGATGGGACACCTGCTTATTTCACCTGCTAGTGAATATCTAACTGATACTTTTGTTCACCAGTGCATAGGTCGTGGGAAACTCAACCATTGCCACCTAGATCTGCAGACTTGAACTCTCTGGATTAATTCTTCAGGAGACATCTTAAACCGCATGTTTATGTAAAATCACATATCTACGCCACTGACTGATTCAAATACACCCTGTATAGAGTCGTCCGACTTTCCATTGTACTTCCGTTAGACATCGATTGGATATAAATTGGAAGTTCATCGTATATATGCAGTATTCGGAATGGATGCTCGTTGAACATGTAATTGTTAATTGGGATTATGATGAGTAACGACCAACCACACAGTTGTTTCACTTTGTCCACCACTTATTTGGTAATTACTCTTCCACTTAAAGTACCGGTCAATCTCAGCAATTCGTTCAGCGCAGATACATTGGCGTCAGTTTGATAAAGTACCGAATGAAAATGTGT